TCTTGCGACTACTCAAATATACTACATCACATTATAGCTATTTTCACTTATATGTAGATTAGTTAATACTAAAGGGTTCAAAACTTATTAATAGAAAATACATACATTATATTTGAGTAGTCCCAAGATGCGTTTGCAACCACGTATTTAATGAAGATTTGACAAATGTATTAATCATATTATCTTGCTTCATATATTGTTAGTATGTATAATATGTCAAGTCCCAATACATTGCAATGAACTATTCAGTACGTAATAGTAGTAATAGTCTATTAAAAATGCACCGAAAATTCATTATAATAAATGTGTATTTGAAATTGACATTTTATAGAAATTACATGGTCATTATTATTATAGAAAACAAGTGCTTAATTTTTTATTTGAAAAAATATTAGCTATTAACACTATTAAAAATTGTAATTTAAACATTTTAAGAGTAATAGGTTTTATTAATTTAATATATTTCATGAAAATAAATTATTTTTATTGTGTTAGTTGTTTATTTTTATCATTTAGTAAATGTTTTTTGTTGTTTATGTATACAGTTTGTTAATAAAATATTTCATCAAGAATTATTTAGTTAAATTAAAAAAGATTATTTTTTGAAATAATAAAATTACAATTTTATTAAATGATTTTTTACTAAATGATTTATACTTCATTAATATTAACATATTTTTATAAATTTCAATATTTTATAATGATATATAAAATTTTAGTATAAATAATATAAATCTTCCAAGTAATACGTTTAATAAATTAAAGCATAAATATTATAAATTTTAACACAATTAATAAATATTAAATATATTTATTTTTATTTAAAAAAATAGGTACCGGCACATCCAGCACCGGGAGCTCATCGGGTGCCCGACTACCAGTGATAGTGTTCATCGGGGGCGAGACGTACGACTGGGACGCCGGCAACCCATACGACGGCTCAATATTAGCCAGTTTTGGTCACGTGATTGTCGTTACCCTTAATTACCGGTTAGGGGTGTTGGGTATGTACTAGTATTATAATAAATATACATTTAAAAATATTTTTGTTATAAACTGTAATTTAAAAACTATCAATTATTTAAACTATCTAAATAAACTTCAAAATGATTATTTATTGGTAAGGTTAGCGATACTTTTTGTACTTGGTACATTATGTAGTTTTAAATATGTACCTTATTTTATTTTAATATTAAATTGTTTGCAATTATAAATTCTACATGCTATCATAAAACATTTTTTAGCTATCACACAAACTCGGTATTAGCAAAATATTTTACAATAATTTATTTTATTTATTAGTATACTTTAAAATTCAATTTACTACATCAATAATGTAAACAAGTTATTTCAGCAATTTAACTTTTAAAATATCTATTACATTGCGCACAATATTTTTAAATTACTTTATTATGACGAGTGAGTCAGCGATAAAAATCCAATAGATATTCATGTAATACACAATTCAATGATAAAAATATTGGAAATGCAATAAAAATTCAAATATTCTGATGGATTACATACGAGTGTATAATATAATAGCACACAAAAAATCAGTTCATAATATGGGGTCATTCATAAAGTGCTTGCACATTGAATTATAAACTAGGGCACATACAGTACATAATAACAAATTCCTATAGAATATAAGATTAACTTATGTAGGTGTCATATTTGTTATTAAAATGTTGTGTACGTACTTATTGAATGGTGCCAATCTCAAACACAAATAAATATCTAGATAAATGTGGGTTGACAACAAAAAATTCAACAAAATTGAATAATAACATATACTGTACCGACAAAAAATAAATATAAAAAGATTTTCACTCTTAAATATACAGAATATTCTGTGTGTATGTGAATACAAATACACAGAATATTCTGTATATTTAAAGAATGAAAATCTATTTGTTATGTCGAGACCTCTCCATCAAAATGGATGGGAAAGTAGGCATAAATTCAATTGCATAACAAAACTTTGCCAGATTTACAGATCCCGTTCCCCGTTACGCATTCAGTAGGCACTGGTATTTTAAATATAAAACAGCCTTTTTCCTATAGAGGAACTGTATGTATAGCATAGTATGTGACTCCAAATGTGTGTAAATGTATTGCTATTGTATTGTAATTGAAATGCCATTTCCTGGTCGTATAAATATGCTGTCCATCACTGTATCCGTTATACACCAGTGCCTCGTAGCTCCCGGTGCCGTATATATCTTATGCCCTTTACGTCGAGTACTTGGAAATGGCACTTAAATTCTTATACACATAATCCCATTGAATATATCAATACAAATGGCGATTGATTTTTATACCTAAATAACATAAAAATATTTTATTATTAAAATAATAAAATTTGTCAATTGATAGTAAAAGTATCTGGATAAAATAATTATAATTCATTTTATTACCCAAAGTATATCTATGCAATTCCTACCAAGGATAATGCATAAGCCTATAAATTAATTATTAATTATTTTATATACTATATAATGACAGTCTGTGATAATTAATATATTTTATAGATTATAATCTAGTAAGCTTGATCATTAAAAATAAAAAGGTTTTTTCCCATATAATAAATATGATATATACATTTTATTAAGTACAAGCAAAACCTATTTATTAAATTTAATATTAAGGCTATTTTATAATTTAGTTATTATCACTTTAACCTCGGTACAATAAACAAAAGGCCCAAAAAAATATACTTTCTACCTTATAATTTTAATTGTTTACTATTAAAATAATTAAATAGCAGGATACTTGATCAAATAACTGGCTTATTTTAATATTAATTGATAATTTATTTTAAAAATTAAATGTTCTAGACATATAGTAATTACTAAACTCTGATACACTGTATCACGTAAAATGGTATGTCCAGTGTATATATATCTATAATCCGATAAAACTTATTAGGAGTGAAATTGATATATAAAAGAGCACTAAAAATATTATTGAATATAACACTAATGAACATAAATCTAGCACTCGATGGATAGTAACATCCGTTTGGTATGTGTTTTATGTCTATCCATAAGAATTGCCACAGAATTGCAATCAACAAAACACTAGTCATTGCTTATACTGTACGCATAAATCATTATCAATCGTATCGTATATGGAAAACATAAATATAAGTGCAGAATATTCCGGGTGCTGTGAGATATGAATCATATGATATATTTACCAGATGCTTTTAGTGGTGAAATTAATATATAAAAATATTAACATCTTGTGTGTATTAAATAAAATTTATTTTCTGCTAGAGTTAATTGTTTTTAAATCTATGAAGTTATCTAGTTAATAATTATGAATTTAGCACAAAATATGCTTACAAGAGTAATAAGTAACCTATTGCCTAGAGTAGTGTATAGATATATTTTTTATTGGCAACAATGTTAAAAATCTTAGGAGTTGTATGATTAATAATTAGCATGAAAATATTAAATCTAAATTTATTACTCATATTATTTTTGTTACAGTTTTTTTATAAATACTATGTGAAAACAAAATAATTTTAAATATAAAATCAATAATTTATAATACCTTAGAAAATTAGTTTTTAAATAATTATATTTTAGTAAAAATTTTATTTTAAAAAGGAAGTTAATATGGATGGCCATAATAGAAATATATTTTATATCTTATATGGACCATAAATAGTACAAGTATATTTAATTACAGTTTGTAAAAAATAATTAATTAATTTTATTTAACAATAATATTTTATTTATTAATATTGGAAGTACAACATAATTAATATTACAGTAAAATACTTTATAGTTCAAACTCACTAGCTTTCAAACGCCTAGTAAATAAGTCCATCTGTAGCAAGTACCTAGTTAATAATTATGAATTTAACACAAAATTATATTTAATCTATTACATTGTTTATAGTACTGTATTTTATGATTGGAAATGTTGAAAGTTATATAGTTATAAAATGGGAGTCCATTAGTATTAAACATATAAATGGTTTTGTAAATTTATTACTATTATTACATTTGTTACAGTTTTATGAAACACTATGTGACAACAAAATAATTTTAAATTAAAATTAAGTATTCATTATAAAATATTAAAGTTTTTAATAATAACATTATGTAAGTATATTTTAAATTAAACAAATACCCATTGTTTTCCCAATATTATAAATATATTGATATTTTATACCGACAATTAATGTACTGGCTTAGTTAATTACAGTTTGTAAAAATATTATTAATTTTACACTTCATTTAACATTCATATTTTATTTACAGTATTAATATTGTACGTCAAAAATAATTAATATTATCATGAACATTTTAATTTAATAGGATTCCTACCGGCGGTAGTGGACGGTGCTGTTCGGGGTAACTACGGGCTCATGGATCAAGTGGCAGCCCTACACTGGGTTCAGGAAAATATAGGGGAATTTGGTGGTGACCCCCATAATGTCACTGTCATAGGGCATGGATTCGGGGCCAGTTGTGTGCACTTATTACTACTATCACCTATGGCTAGAGGTATGGCATACCGGGGGTGAAGTACTACCCAACCCTTACAATATATCACATATACAAAAGTACCATGTGCTATTTGTCTCATAGTGTATAACACACTTAATGATAGTGCACATAATAAATTATGTAGCTCAATTTTATTTGTCATTATCGTATGTGATTTCCGTTACACATACATGTTTTTATTGGCATCCCTTATCCCCATACATATCCTTTCCCAAGCAATTCATTGACAATATCATATACCATATCCGTAATATTTTGTTAATTAATTACCTTGCTACATTAATTTTTGTGTTTTTGTAGGCCTATTCGCAAGGGTGGTGCTCATGAGTGGCTCGGCGTTAGGTCCGGCCAGTATAGCCAGGGATGCCGATACATACGCCCGACATTTGGCCAAGGTTATTAATTGTCCCAATTTTGTAAGTATAAATATTTTAAAATATGATTTAATCTATTTAAAAGTATAAAGTATTTGTATTTTTTTAGCAAATTAACATGCTAAAATAAGTTAATATATTATATGATTTAATTCTATACAATTTGTGTAAATTAAAATTATCAGTGACCTCACGATTAACCAATAATAATTAATTTAATGCCTACTAGCTAATACAGTAATTATTTAGTTAAAAGTTACAATCTGTAAATACAACATAAACACATACCTATAAATACAAAATTAATATTAAATATTTAAATATTATAATCAAATTTTGAGGTATATTTGAAAAAATATTATATGCTGTACTATTATTTATACTATAAATTTAATAATAGTGGTTAATTTTCCAAAAATAAATTATAAAAATTATATTTATAGATACAACTATTTACAGTTGTAAAGTTACAGTTTATATACTATAATGAGTTAAATAATAAGAAAATTATCTTGAAGTTACTCCCAATATTTCACCTATAATATCATGTTATCATAAAAATTTTAAACATAATTAAAATTTACAGTTGCAAGATGTTCAGAATGCTAACGTATAAAATTAGTTATTTATTTTAATGAATAATAATATTATACAGTATATAAATAGATATCCTTGATAACCATAATAAATTGAAATGCCAATTAAAATCCTAAGTAAGGTTAATTAAATATTACTACAATGTATTTACTACTATAAAGTAATAATTACTTGTAAGTAATAAAATTAGTACATTATTACACAAATAAGTTTTTTAAAAACAGATATTTCAAAAAATATTTATTAATATGATAATGGACCCACAATGTTTTAAAATTAATTTCATTAACAATTATATTAAGGTTAGAAAATTAAAACATTTTGTAAAACATTACCATTTATAATTTTAAAACATCATATTTACTAGTATATTTGTATAATATTAAAAAGTAGCTGGCTTTATATTATAAAGTTTATAATCATAAAGAAAAATTAAAAATTAATAGTCCACGACAGTTATGTGCATGCGAGCAAAAAGTGAGCAAAAGTACACATAATGCAGCATTTACTGTATCGCTCATTGAATTGCCTATTAACAGACCCCTATGTCTTTAATGCCACAAATGACATATGTCATGA